GAAAGAAGAAAGTCATATACACCTAGAATTACTTGAGGGTGAGTAATTTATGGGCTAATTTTCATTTTTGGGTGAACTAACCCTTTAGAGGTTTAAACACTACATGCTTGTTTCAATGGACAAAGCTTTGTGAGGCATGCATTGTTTAAAGAAGAAAAAAACTAAACAAAACCCTAACCTGGCTAAGCTGTATTCCTGATCAGGGAGTACCGTCTCTGGCAAAGGTACATCTCTCTTCCAGGTGACTTCATTCTCGTATATCATGGTATCCTCAACAAACTGAACAAGCTAAAGAGTTAATGAATCACCTTAATACATAAAAGTTGTGTGAATATTTGATGCGAGCACCTTTGTACCTTTCGCGTGGTTCCACAAGTGGTGACACCAAAGTGAAAATAACCTTTATTTGGGAACTTGGGGTGCTCCCATATTTGACAAATGTTGAAGCTGTCCTCATTGCAACTTCCCTCTACATGTGGAAGGACTGCAGAAAAAGGACACAAAGGTAAATATCAGCACATCCCAGTTATGCACAATTCTGCTCCTAGAGATCTGCCTTGATCTGCATAGTTTACTGTAGTCCCCCACCCCCCAGACAATGGTTAACAAAAAATTTACCATCAGACAATGCTGATTGGCTGATGAAACCATAATAAGGCACTATTACCACAATGTTGTTTTTATATACTACCTGGATCACACAAGCTAGTCAAAACTTGACCCCTTGGCACAAAGGGAGATCTGCAGGAGCAGAACCTTGCTCCACTCTTTTTCTTAAAAGGTCTTTTTCAGTCTAAAGGTCTTACCAATGTCAGCTAAAGAAGCTTCTAGTACAATGGAGTGTGAAAATGCTGTATGTTCAGGCAAGATGACGAAACCAAAGACCAAATCAAGTATGTAGGTTCTTAAATCAGGGCGAAACATCTGCATTACAGATGAAACCATTTTAAGACAAGGCAAATCACATGAGTTGGGATAACAGCTGCATAGACAAAAGTGAAATGCATATCTTTATTTGGACATAAGGTTCAGAGAAGGGAACCTGGAGAGCAGAGTCTTTTGTGTCATTCGGGAAGCTGTGCTCTTGCAGATTAATGCCTTTATTAATGATCTCAGAGAATGCGAGTAATTCAGAGCCAAAGGTGATATTCAACAGCTCCACATCAGGTAGGAAGTAACCCAGCAATACATCAAACACCATCTGCTCGGGTTGAGTGTCTGATCACATAAAAACAATTCTCTTGGAACAAAAAAAAATCTCTCTCTCTCACTCTACATATACATACATACATATATATATATATATATATATAATAAGCCTTTCTGCCCTAAATTCAACACTCACAGTCTGTAACTTGGGGTGGCCATGGTGTCAAAGGAGTGGTAATGGGGGACAAGACCTTATATGAGGTCTTATCCTGGCCCTCCTTCCACAGCAACTCCAGCATGGGTTCTATGGTGTAACTGATATGGTACTGGTCCTCAAGAACGTGACTCTGTAATTAACAAAAAAGGTCTTAGTCATTACTTTCAAGTTAAATGGAAAACAGAAAACATAGTTGACAACTCAACCTTGTAGTATCCATCAGCAGCCCCAATAGGAATCTCAACAACTACATGGGACTCTTTGAAGGTCAGTTACGGCTTTCCATCTCATCAGGTGTGAGCCTTCTGCCATTGATGCCCATGTGCACCTCCAGGATTTCCACTTCCGAGGACACCAAAGGAGTTATGTGCAGAGGAACTTGCAATAAATCATCTGACTAACAACTGAAGCTCCATCTGAAGTCAAATCAGAGTGCAATATGAGATGTAGAACACCAAAATGGCAAAATAACAAGTGTGTGAATGAAATCTCACTGATTGGACAGGCAGCTGCCGACTCGACTATAGCCATCATCCAGCGGTCTCGGAACAAGACCACTGATTTTAACACCATCATATCAACATCGTCAACCTAACAGGGAAAAATACTTCAGGCACTACAGATAAATTAAAGCGCCGTATTTTTGCTGGCACATGAAACCGTTCATACATTTTGGACAAAGGTTTCAACCATGTTGTAGGCTTCGCATAACCAGTCGTGTTGGAGAACTCTGAACATTGTAGCCCATCACTTGTAGGGTCTCTTTATCAAAAGACTTCTCTTCGGGGGTGTACAGTAGGATTTTCCAGAGTTGTAAGTTAGGTATAACTGTGGGCTGTTAAAAAGGAACAACAGAAGATTCTGTGTCAAAGAAAATCATGAAATTATCTATGGAGAATGTGAAAATGTAGAAGACCCACTTACTATTTCTGAAAAAATAAATAAATAAAAATACAATGTAAGTGGCACTTGCACATGCAATGCTAGGTTAGTTGCCAGGATATTGCTATATGGTTGGTAAAGTGTTGGGGGTCTTTGTAGTGCATTGTTATATAGTTGCTAGGGAGTTTTTAGTGGTTGCTAGGCCAAAATAGGATCTCACCCCCATTCCCTATTGTGGAAACTTCCCTTCTGTCTATAGCTGCTTTTGTAATTGCATAGCATCTGAGTAGATACTTTACAAGAAACTTACTTTATTACCATTAAAAAAATACTATATTACATATATATTATTAGTATATTATACATATACTATATTACATCTACCATGTGACCTAGTTGCTATGCTTCACTGCCATTCAAGACTTCACTCCCATGGCCTCATGGGATAGTAAATCATTGGATGCACACTCAAAAATATTGGCAGTTGTAGTAAACCACCCTGGTATTTCTGACGTACCATTTCACAAATACCAATGAAAAATAGATATACTACCTGTGTTGGGGTAGTTACAAGTAACAAGTTATGTAATCAGATTACTTTTTTCCAGTAACTAGTAAAGTCACATTACTTTTTAGTTTAAAAAAAATAAACTTTTTCAAATAAGTAACGGCAGTTACTTTTTCCCATCTGTTGACTAACAGCTCTCCTGTACTTATGTTCAGAGAAATCAGGAGTAAGTACAGAGGCGGTGTGCGCGCTGTGTGAACATGATGGTTACTGCAGTTGTAAACTGAATGTGAACATACATTGACTCATCTCACTTGCACAAAAATTAATACAAACAGTGAAAAGCAAATGCAGAATATTACAAAACCCCACAATAATTAAAGTAAACAAAAATCCTTTATGTATTTAATCCCATTTTATTAACCATTGCTGCTGACCATCAATGATGTAATTTAACCATACTACACAATTTTAGTATGAAAGGGCTTTTACATTTGCCAAAAATATAACATTTTTTAATATTAAAAACGAACAAGCCAGCCCAAGCCAGATGAGAAAAAGTAACGCAAAAGTAATGTAATGCATTACTTCCCATAAAAATTAACTAAGTGATGCAATTATTTACTTTTTACAGTAACGCAATATTTATAAATCAGTACTTTTAAAAGTAACTTTCCCCAACACTGTATACTATATTGTTTGTAAGTACACATTTTTAGATTCAACTAATGAGATTTTTGAAACTTATTTTATTTTCCAGGCAAAGATCTTCCAGTGCGATTGCTTGCAATAGTAACAGCACACACTCCTTAAAAACACACAATTTTAGACATCATTCATGTAGTATAAATGGTGTGGGACACCAGCAACTTACTGAAGTACCACTAAAAATATTATTATACATACCAGCTGTTGTACTGGTGCTGTCTTGATGTCTGGTATAGCATTTCTTACGGATACCTGACAGAACATAAGCATGCACAGGCAGGTAGCAATAACACAAGTACTGCATTTCCATTGACACATTAGATTACTAGTCTTAGATCATTATACAATTAGATAAGAAATTCCTCAACATTTAGCAGCTATGAGTCCTATAAACTATCCAGCTGCCACTGGTCAAACTTGATGCATAACCTCCACATAATGTCGGAAATGTCCTCATTTTAATCAAAAGTTAAAAATTGACATATTTAAGAAAATAAGTTACTTGCCTCCATAAAGTTTGTCTCACACAAAATCTCACGTGAAGTCATGGTGTGACTGCAGAACTTGAACACTTCATGGACTTTCTCAGATAGCGTGGGGAATTCATACGGTTTAACTTGCATGGCTACTCTAAATTCCTTGTCACCCTACTGGAAAAACGGTTAGGTATGTGCAATTAGAAATCAAACAATTCCCTTCTTAAACATCCACTCCCACATTTCAACTTTCATATTTTCTTAGTTATTTACATAATAAACTATAGCTCCAGAACTAGAGCTCGTTAAAGAAATGCTTAATTTATAAAGACACAAACCTGGTTCTCTGCATAACAACTCTGTAGGGAAGCTGACACTATCGTATTCCCCCAAGGATCAGATTTCTGTGTATAGCCACATTGAGTCGCCAGGTGAGGTGTGAGAAGGACTGTCTGTGTGTCATCTGAAACGCCCAGATTAGGTCTGAATTGATTCCTGGGTGTATTAAACTCATTGGCTCACGGACAAAGGGATGATTAACTTACTGACTGCATAAAGCTCTAAAGCACCTCCTGCACTCAAAGAGCCAGGGAGGATGAACTGTACCCTATTTCCAAGACATTCAGCTGGGATTCCATCTGCAATCAAGAAAACTATCCATTAAGTAATGATTTACATGACTTGACACAAAATAGTGAACGCACAGCATGGCTTACCTGCAGAGGTATCTGCATGAATGCTTATTATAGTGACCATAAGCCATAAAGCCCTACAAATATCATTAAATAAATCAACACAGCTCCTGATGAATTCAAACACTCATATTTCCATATCCTAAAACATACCCTATTTCAAAGCACTCCATTATGAAATCTTTGTTAACCTTTGTCTTCTACACAAACGCGCGACCGAACTCAGCGGCAGGTGATTGATGAACTGTGTCTCGAGCGCGTTCCGTCTGATTGCACAGTATTGCGCGCAGGTGAGGAACTCAAACAGTCTGCGCGGCTTCCTGCGCTCGTTGACGGGACTCTCCGCCCTGCTAGGTGTGGACCTGGATTTAAAGGTTAACGGGAAACCGCTGGCTCTTTGTGCCTATAGCGATCATGTATTATTGATAAAGTGACTGTTTCTGTAGAGTTTTGCGTCAGTGCGGAAAAGCGCAAATGATTTGAAGCCGCGTCCGTGGGTATGTGATCTTCAGTTGGTTTTATATTCGCGGTAAGATTTCTCTCTTTTACCATTTTTTTTTCTGATGTCTGAGTGTAGTTATGACTCATGGGAAACTCTGGGTTTAGATGTCACGTTGGTTATATATCTCAGTAGCCTAACTATAAGGTTTTAAAAGGACTCTTTCTTAATAACATAATGTTTAAATGCTTGGTTTCTCTAGCTGTAAGTTTGTACGTTTCAAACGTCTAGAAGGCATATTAGGACAGTGCGCAAACAAAAATAAGTATCATAATTTAATAAAAATCATAAAAGGAGTGAACAATAAATCCATAATGGAATGTATTGGGACACCCCCTTCTAATGAACAGGTTTGACTACTTTAGTAATTTCCATGAGTACAAATCTGAATGTTAAAGCATATAACGATATTCTAAGCAATTGTGTGCTTCTAATTTTATAGCAACAGTCTGGACAGGACCCTTTTCTATTCTAATATGTGACCCTGAACCAAAAAAACAAACAAAAAAGTAGCACAGGTATATTTGTAGCAATAGCCAAAAATATATTGTATGGGTCAAAATTATCATTTTTTATTTTATGCCAAAAATCATTAGGATATTAAGTAAAGATCATGTTCCATGGAGATATTTTGTAAATTCCTACCGTGAATATATCAAAACTTAATTTTGATTAGTAATATGCATTTCTGAGGACTTAATTTGGACAACTTTAAAGGCGATTTTCTCAATATTTTGATTGTTTTGCACCCTCAGATTCCAGATTTTCAAATAGTTGTATCTCTGCCAAATATTGTCCTATCCTAACAAACCATACGTCAATGGAAAGCTTATTTATTCAGCTTTCAGATTTAAATCTCAATAAAAAAAAAAGTACTCTCATGACTGGTTTTGTGGTCCAGGGTCACATATGACAATGCCTCTGTGTATAAGGCAAGGTTCAAAAGGTGCCTTTTTCTGTTCTAAAGAAGGGGGTGTCCATATAGTGTTGTGTACAAGTCATTGGTGTTTGGTGATGAGTTTTTGGCTCAAGGTCTGCATTTAAAGTCACACCAGAGGTGTTCACCTGGGATTGGGACTTAATTGGCTTTCTGCAGACCAGTCAAGTTCTTCCACACTGACCAAATCAATCATTTCTTTTTGAACCTTGCCTTATACACAGAGGCATTGTCATTTTAGAAAAGGGTCCTGTCCAAACTGCTGCTATAAAATTAGAAGCACAACATTCCCTAGAATATCATTACTATTCCCTAGAACATCATTGCTATATATATATATATATATATATATAGCTAGCATCAGGTTTCAAATGGTGAATTTTTTACTCTACATTCTTTGCTGTTTCATTAGTTGTTTTAGATACAGTTTAACTGTTGAAAAGCCACATACAGATTATTTAAAAAGGTGCCTTTATTTATTTACCATTTATTTCATATTTACAGGTATCCTCAAATCAGTGTTAAAAAAAGTGTCTCCCCATGACTTTAAGGTAACTCAGAATATTAAACATAAACAGTGCATATGTTGTCAGATATGACTGTCAAATGCAGTGTTGTGTTCTTTTTGAATAATGCCACTCTTTATGTTAACCTACAGAATAAATACGGTCACATTTTGAATCTGTAATTGTAGTAGGCTCAGACGATATAAGTTTCAGTCTAGGTTGTCTGGGAGGATCTGTTTACAGCAGTTTACAGCAGTGACAGTATAGTTTAAGTTAAGGAGGCCATCAGTCTAAATACTGTTGTATATAATTAAAATAATTCTGATATATCATAATGGATAATATTTTATTTCATTTGAAAAGGTTACTGTTGAATTATCAAGAATCCATCAATCAGAAAGTCATGGCACACAAATGGTGGCACCATTACCTGAAGATGACCCTGTCAGTCATTACACAGAACTTTTTAACATGTTTGCAAGCAACCATCCAAAATGTCATCAGTAAGCCTATTCAGCCTCGTGCCGTTTCAAACCTGTATGCATTTATTATATTTTTGGGCCACAGAAGAAACAAACAACAATAGCCTTTTGACTTCCATTGTATGCAGGGAAAACACAGACATTTCACAAAATAACAGCTTTTTTTTTTTCCACAGAAAAGGAATGACATGAGTAAATGACAACAGAAATTTCATTTTTAGGGTGAAGTGTTTCTTTAATGTCAAATATAATGTCATCTTAATGGCAACTTTTTATCAATGTTAATAGTATAAGTAAAAATGTGCATTATATTATTTGTGTGTTTTTTCCAACACAATCTCAAGGCAATTTATAACTATTTTACGTTTTGGCAGATTGGTGGCTAATTCATATCTCATTCATATGTACTATATGATGTGCTTTTCCTCACTGGTCCTGTGATGTGACATATATTTTAAAGTACCATGTATTTTAATTAATATGATAAAAAAAAAAACTGTTTAAACAGAGAGTATAGGATGTCATACTGCAGGACTATCATTAAACAAAATTAATCTAGAGCAAGGGTCATCAACTCTGGACCTCGAGATCCACTTTCCTGCCGAGATTAGCTCCAATCTGGAGCTTCCTACATACCTGCAAATTTGTAGTTCAACCATGACAACTCTCGGAACATTTTAGCATGGTGATGGATATGACAATGTTAATGTATTTGGTCTTGGCGGAACAGATCTGCTACGCTGCTGCTGAATTGCTGCTGCTGTTGGTTATTGCTGTAGTTGTAGATTGTTGCTGCTGCTGCAAGCAAGTATAGGGACTTGCTACTTCCAATGCATATGGCGATACGGTGCCATGAGTATTTAAGACATACTGCTGCTGCACAAATAGCATATAAAATAACCCCGTAGCAGATCTATACAGGTGGAGCTGGGGAAGGTGGAGGGTTTCAGAGAACTCTGAAAGCGCGCTGCAGGAATCTCAAGTGAATGCTAGCCAGCCATATAAATGCAAGGCAGTAAGCTCATTGGCTGCATATGCAGCATGAACCAATCGGCTTGTGCCAAGTCGTTTAACTCTCTGAATATCATCAGTTACGTTAACACCCCGTCAGAATGCACCATCTAGAGTTTCATGACTGAACTATATATTAATCCTGAAGACCTTGATTGGCTTTTTTCAGGTGTGTTTGATTAGGGTTGGAGCTAAACTCTACAGGAAAGTGGATCTCAAGGTCCAGAATTGAGGAACCCTGATCTAGAGTTTATATGCTGGTCATTTATTTAATCAATTTCATTGATTAAGTAGTTTTCTGTGCTTTTGATGTAGTTAACATTCACATTTCTGTTGTTTTAGTAGAAAATGCAAGTATATCATTGGCAAGACTTCCAGATTCGATGAATCGGTACCACCATGATGTATGGGCAAGTTCTCCACCATCAATGCAGGGAGGAAGATCTTGTTAATCTCAACGTTGGAGGCACCCAGCACAAGGTGGAGCGCTGTGTTCTGCTCCGGTTCCCCAACACGCGTGTGGGTCAGTTAATCCAGTGTTGCAGCGATGCCGCAATCCTGGAACTCTGTGATGACTACAGCCCCGCTGAGCAGGAATACTACTTCGACAGGAGCCCGCAAGTCTTCCACTGCGTTCTGAACTTCTACCGTACAGGACACTTTCATGCTGTGGAGGAGCTCTGTGTGTTTTGCTTCAGTCAGGAGATCGAATACTGGGGCATCAGTGAGCTGGATATGGAAGCCTGCTGTCTCGAATGGTTCCTTGAGCGCAAAGATGAGCGGGAGCAGAATGTGTCTGGCCGGTCTAGTAATGCAGCGTCGTCTGGAGAGATCTCGGTTGTGGGCAGTGACCTGTGGAGGTTTGAGGGCACGTGGTGTTCAGATGTGCGCAAGTTCATGTGGCAAACTCTTGAAGATCCCAATCACTCCAAGTGTTCCAAAGGTGTAGCTGCGGTTTCCGTCCTGGTCATTTTGACCTCCATTGTGGCCATGTGTATCCACAGTATGCCCGAATTCAGGTATGCAACCGACAGTGAACATTCTGTCCTGGACTCTCTGGAGCTCATTTGTATTATTTTCTTCTCAGTGGAGTTTGTCCTGCGAGTCATAGCAGCTCCTCAGCCATTGAGTTTTTTGGGAAACCCTCTGAACATGATTGACATGGCTTCTATCTTGCCTTTCTATGTGACACTGGCCTTTGAAAGTTTGGATGAAGAGGATGGGGAGGAAAACCAACATCTGGTCAACATGGGGAAGGTGGTTCAGGTTCTCCGATTAATGAGGGCCTTCAGGGTGCTAAAGCTTGCTCGACATTCAGAAGGTGTGAGAGCTTTTGGAGAAACTCTAAAGAGCTGCCAATGTGAGGTGGGTCTGCTCGTTCTTTTCATTACTGTTGGAATATCGTTCTTCTCGACGTTTATCTACTACACTGAAAAGGAAGACGCTTCGTCCAAACTCTCTTCTATTCCTGTTTGTTGGTGGTGGGCCATTATTTCAATGACTACGGTGGGCTATGGGGATGTATATCCACAGACAGCAGCTGGGAGAATTGTAGCTACACTTTGCATTCTCTGTGGGTTGCTTGTGGTTTCTTTACCCATCACCATCATCATGAATAACTTTTCGAAGTACTTTGATAAAAATACACCTAAGAGGCGCCTTTCAGAAGCTAAAACATAGGAAAATGTCAACGGTTTCCCTGTGGTTTGAAATGTTGGTTTGCTTTTGCAATCTAAACTTCAGGAACATTTTTGTGCTTGTTTCAAAAAAAGACAATCTTGACATTAATCAAAAATAAAGCCATCCGACATCTTGGTGTTAAATACTTCATTTTAAGCAACAATGGCTGATGTTTGGAAAAAGTGAATGACCTAGAATATCCAAAAGCACTTCAAAGTCAAGTCAAATGACATACTCCGAACAAACGAAAACGAGCAGCACAAAATTCTTTCTTTTCTTCAAAAAAGTTTAATAGTAGTTCTATGTACAACAAATGATCATACTTAATATTCAGTTATTCAAAGAGGCAGATTGATCGAATCTGGAATTAGGCAAAATACTGAAGCAAAACTAAAGCAGAGAAGGACCAAACCCTTCATAAAGTCCTCATCTGCAAAAAACCCAACATTTTATATTTAGATATGTGAATATGACTTAATAAATTATAAATAAAAAAGCAAATTAATTGTACAAGTACCAAACTATTTGTAAAATGCCAAAACAACTAACAGCAATGAAACATCAAATCATACATTCATATTTTTTTTCTTTTACGATCCTGCATGCTGTCATAGCTCTATAAAATAATCTTGACAAAGTTCAAATGAACATGGGTTAGAGCAAAACAAATTAAATTAAGCATATACTCCTTTATCAATATATGTATTTTTTTCTAAATAAATAATGTATATTTGGCATTAGATTCATCCTTATTATTGATATATTTAAAACCAGTTTGAAGTCAAACCATTCTCAAAAACTCACTGTTAATAGCCCATTTATGAGAGGTCTCACTTATTCAAACCACATTACATCAGATGTGCTAGAAAACAAAACAAAAAATAGAAAATCCCTCCCCTTGACAAATTAGTAATGAGAAACTAAGACCAAAATATTTTCATACTGGGGTTATGGTTAACCTTTGAAACCAAAACCTGTGAATACACAGCAAAACTGCCTTGAATCCCACCTAACGCATTAAAAAGTCAACAGAGCACCACAGACAGACCTCAACATCCTAAATAATCATTATTTTCACATAGTCTACCAAAGAAAGGATGTCAAATTTTGTCTGTGCCATGATCAATGAAATCCTTCAGGTTATTGCTGAACAGGCAGCGAAACATCTGTACTTAATTTATACAGCTGAACACTCATTCAACTGCCTATAATACTGTGATTTCTTTGCAGAGAAGCCTTGAATAGGTGGACAACTGACAAATGAAAAGGGAGCGTGGGGTAGAGAACAACTGATAAAGGGTATAATCTTTCATTTTTTAATTATAAGCAATTATATATATATATATATATATCTTAAAAAGATAATCATGCCATTTGGAGGGCAGACAGTGAGGCCTATACACTACTGAACATGTTGTTTCTGTATGAGTGTGAGTATATGCATGTTGATTGTCCTGGTAAAACCAATCCGTGCTTATATGAATCCAACACGCCTCTATGACAAAAGCACCAGTTTTAACCTCTCAAATGTCTCAATGTATTTTTAAACAGTTGTTTACATTTTCATATTTTCAGTAAAAGAAATAACAGCATTGTTCATAGAACAATAGCCGTCTTTGCATTATGGAGGAGCTGACCCTCAAAGAGGAGAATCGGAAACTAACAAAACCTATTAAAGGGCTTCCCTGCAGTACGTCAGTAAACTGAAAGTGGCAGCGCAGTTTTTTTGTAATGATGTAATGCGTTTGCGATGCGGCTTTACTGTATATCTGTGCACACACTGGCCACAACTTTATAAAATGTTTTTATAGGCAAGACATATCCTCAGGTGAAGTAGTGAATAAATAAACTGCAACCATGTTGAAAAAAAGCAGCATTGCTGGTCACTAGCATGTTGTGGTTTAGATGCGGGAAGTGTCTTTTTTAACCAGCAGAATTGCCATATATCTGCAAATGCAGTAACTACATCAAATGAGAGAAATTGATTTTAAATAAATAATTTTTTATTTGAATCTGAGGATAGTTCAGCCAAATTGTACAGATCAGAATCTAAAAGTCCAGATTTCAGGTCTAAATCAGTTTTGGAAATAAAAGGTTACGTTTTTGCCTTTGTAGGCCAACCTATGTCAACCAGCTTCACTAGACAGATTACATGTGTTGACTAGTATTTTTTGCTGGTGAACAGCAAAGCTATGCTGGTCCACCAGCTAGACCAGCATCATACCAGCTCTAAATCAGCTTTTCAACAGGTTTGCAAGGCATATTTTGCTATTCCTCAATAAAATCTATTCACAAAAAATGGGTAAAACATATATAGTTTCTGTGAATAAGCGTCTCTTCAGAAACTCAGAAAGTCAGACTAGAGCTGCTGCGCAGTAGAAAGGCATGACAAATCGCTCTGTTTGCCTTGAACTGATTGCAGAGAGACTCAGTGCTAGTAGAGAGACTTTACTAGCACTAGTTTAGTGTCCTGCCATTAATACCACACACTAAGAGGTAATGACACCATGTGCCTGCCATGTATTTATACACTATTGCACATTCTGGCAAGTCTGGTAGAGTGTGTAAGCACGCGAGAGGTGGACACTGGCATTTAGTCTGATACTCTGTATTGTTTTGTAGAGATGAACAATGTGGAGCCCTCATGTGTCCGTCATAACAGAGGACAGATATAAATCAAAACTGAAGTTACCTGCATTTAACACTTCCCTCAGTCTTAAGGTGCGGTCACGCTAACCAAATTTCAGATGGTGCAATGAATATGGGCAACAGGATATAATGTCACATAGTTATAAATCAGAAAAAAAACATGTTTTTAATCAACCCAGGCTTATTGGAAAACCGTTCCTGTGGTGACATTTCTGCAAAATGATATCATGCTGCTTCTCCCTTGTTTCACTGTAATTTCAAAGTGAAATGACTAGTGAGTGGCGGTAATAGTGCATTTAGTTTGATCCGAAACAGATGAACGCGAGTCAAGCTAAGTTTTATAACACTGGCTTTTGTATCACAGCAGTTCTGAAATGAAATGTCTATTGAGTGGCACTAAAAGGTTAATGCTCTGTCACTAAACCCAACCAATAGTGTTAACAAAAGCAAACATGAGAGAAAAACACTGAAGCATCCATGCCATTTTTGTTCAATTATACTCTTGTGACTTGTCTTTTATAGGACTCGTTCTTATGAACTTCATGGTAATAACTTCGTTAATCTTCAAGTGAACTTCAAGTTAAATGCTATACCGGGTGCACTACCGAGCAAATTCATTACCTAAGAAAAGCCATACATAAGGAGCTGGTTATGTGATGCAATCATCAAAATGTGTTTGAACTTTTGACTTCTCACTACATGAATTTGCAGATCCAAGTTTACCAACTTTACATTTCACTCACCTGTGTTCACATGCATATGAATGGTTGTTAAAGTTTAATGTGACCGCACCTTTAGACTTCCATATAGATAAAACACTATATTAATACCCCTAATAGCTGTCAATATTTATACTGAACACATCACTATCACACAGTCCTGATGAAGTACAGAACCCAAATTTGCACACGATAATCCAAGAGATGACGTTCCAAGCAAAAAAAAAATTCATCAAAATATCAACGATCCCACCAATCATGCATCTGTTTTAAACATTTTTTTTGAGCCCCTACATGATCAGATGATCAGAAATGCATGATGAGAAATAATACTGCAGGGTTTCGCCAGTCTTTGACCATAAGCGACATTTCCTCTGCATAAGTCGTATCTCATGCAAATCATTTTAAGTCTCCAACACTGATTATAAGGCACCTATGGATGTTTCCATCTTTTATAATCACCAATATCTAGATCTCTACTTTAAAAGAAAAGAAAAGACAGACACATGGCATGTGTCAGGTGATGACACTCTACAACTATTTACATTTACACAAGCAGCGATACATCTAGCCACAACTTGTCAGCACTGCCTGAACACATTATTTTATGACAATATCTTTTAAAACAGGGCTGGAAGTTTCTCTGAAAAAGGGACCTAGTTGTAAAGTACTCTTAAGTTGGACTAAAATATGCAAACAATTGAGAAAGACACCTGTCCTGTGGGCTATCATATTTTAGCTGTTATATATTCATATAAAATGTGCAAGATGATAACTGTACCTTAAGAGTACATATTTAGCAGCAGTTGGTAGCATGTTAATGTCTTCCCACTGACGGAAGAAGAACCTCAAGCAAAAAAAAATAAAAAATCTGTATCCACCTTTTATATGAGTTTAGATAACTTTCTCTCAAACTATTTGGACTAATTGTAAAGCATTTATCATTTCTTTGTGTATGTAGTGCTTTCAATATATTGAGACAAGAACTGAGACCGCAATACTGAGCCACTACAGCATTACACACTCAACGTATCTCACTTCTTCAAGGGATAGTTCACCCTAAAATGTAATCAGTTACTCATAATAAGATGTTTTGCAGAATGTCCTGGCTGCTTTTGTCCTTGCAGTGAGGTATGGTGACCCAACCTTTCAAGCTCTAATCCTACCATCTGATTTGTATTTATTATTATTATTATTTTTTTAAATCTTGCCAGTATTTGGCACCATCTTTTTCCACTGTGTAGAAATAAGCTGCCTGGATATTCACTAAAGAGCTCCTTTTGTGCTCAATATGAGCATTAAACCAATGGAGATCAAGATAAAGAGATGATGATGGTAAACCATTTTAGGTTGAACTATCCCTTGCTTTAACTGTCGTATTAAAACTAATTATTACCCAATTGACTTTTTTCCTGTACAACGAGATTGAATTTACTTCTAAAACGAGCTGAAACATTTATTGGCAATTCCTTCTCTTCTTCTGATTCTTCTTTGTTTTTTTTTTAGTTTTTTCCTTTTTTATTTTTTTATATATTTTTTTTTTGCAAGAGCAGGGCAGTACATTCACAATGCTTTTTGCTTAAGATGCTGTAAGGCTGCCAGGTAAAGGAAATAGATAAAAAAGCCAGGGATTTATACGCTGCTTTCTAACGCCTTATGAATGTAAGCAGCAGTTATGCTAAGAGGATAGACAGTACCGCCATCTCTGGATAGTTAGGCCTGGAACCAGAGGAAAAATCCCGCAATCACAGTTGTGGACAGTTAAAATTCATAATTGTGCCAGTAAAAATAAATAATAACTGCTGTTAAATAGCTGTTGTATTTACAAATATAAGGTACTGAATCTAAAGCTGCTGTTGGTTATTATTTAGTCCACAATCAAGGTAATAAAGAACCTAAAGCCAAATTAAAAATAAAAAGCAGAGCTGTTGCCACCCAACTTAAAATATGGTATTTGAATTCAACAATTCATCATAGAGAGCCCTATTGCACACCCGGGGTTCTGTTCTCAAAAGTGACAAGGCAGATGGACACATTGTTGTGAAAGTGCTGGACCGAAAAACTGTGATCTACAAAAAGCATAACTGTCTAACCTAAAATACATGAATTTCTTTTCAACAAACCAGTGACCGTAAATATGATAATCCGAGATGCATTGAGACACCGTGTTAAACCTCCCTTTAAAAAGTCCACAGGTGGTTTATAGTGCTGTGCAGAAAGGAGAGGAGGGGGGGCTTCTACATTTTAGAGTATAAAGCAGCACCATTTACAGTAATATTATTAAAGTTTCTTTTGCACCTTTAGATGTCACAGACTACCTTGAGTGGTGAACACGGAGGAAGATTGGTGTTATAAATACTTCTCTGTAAATGTTTTTGTGTAAAACCGGCGGTCAGTCAATGAAAGTCAAGCTATTACTGAGTGATATCAAGGCCTTTTTGGGCTGAATGAGCTTTAAACCTTAGCAATTGAAATTAAAAAAAAAAAGGATTTTTAAAACTCTCTTTGACAGTGCAGTTAAGTCCAGAACTAGATTTAATATCTGTCAACCCTGAAGCTAACACTAAATTGAAGTCTAGAAGCAAAACCTTCATGCAAATCCTCAACTGCGACAACATCACGAGGATCAAGATCAACATTTCCGTTGGAAATACAAATGTGGATCATTTAAGAAGTAGAACTGCTTTGTACAACCTTTTAACAGACTTTGCAATCTTAAAGAAATCGCGATCTTAAATTCGCTTATTTAAATCTGAACTCCATACTAATAGAGTCCTTTTATTTTTGTGTGTGTGGGAATGATGCTGTGGATGAAGTGACTATGTTGTGACATTAGTTTTGTGCCAGTGCTATAGAATACATTTTCTGAAATGAGTGTTTAACTGTGCCTATGCTGAGGGCTAGACTTTGGCTTTGTTCAGACAGGCAGCAAAATTCCGATTTATTTTTATTTTCTTTCTTTCTTTTTTTGGAATCCGATGTTTCCAAACTACATCCATAGGTAGTCAGCTGGAAATCTTTTAGAATGCATCTGCACAGTCAGATTACATTACAGATTACAGAAAGTAGTTTTTCATCATTCCAGAAGTATCGCATACTGTATGTCTCTTTTACTTTTATATTAAATTATATGACATTCACCGGAGCCCCAAAGGGGACATGGAAATGAAAATGATATTTCTTAGCAAAATAAAGTATTGCGTTCCCCCCAGAAATGTTTGCCTGCGAAAAGCATTGAAATCTAGCCACCTCATATCAACACAAATGTTTTGTGAGTGAACGGAAAACAAATTCTCAGGGGAATGCAAAAGTTTTGTGCAAGAACGCAAACATTTAGTGAGAGAAAGCAACATTACTTGGGGGACCGCAAACATTTTGTGAGAAAAACACAGTGTGATTTTTTTATTTATTATATTTTTATTTTTTTGAGAAAACGCAAAGTTTCTCAGGGGAAGTTTTGTGAGAGAATGCAACATTTTTGTGCAAACTTTTTTTGAATGTTTTGTAAGAGAATACAAATGTTTAGTGAAAAAAAAGCAACATTTCTTAGGGGAAAGCAATTTTTTTAATTATATTTTTATTTTTTTGAGAAAACGCAAAGTTTCTCAGGGGAACGCAAAAGTTTTGTGAGAGAATGCAACATTTTTGTGCAAACTTTTTTTGAATGTTTTGTAAGAGAATACAAATGTTTAGTGAAAAAAAAGCAACATTTCTTAGGGGAAAGCAAAAGTTTAGTGAGAAACACAAACGTTTTGCACACACAAAAAAAATGCTTTTTAGAGAAACGTAAACGTTTTTTGAGAGAATGCAAAAGTTCTGTGAAAAAACGCAAACATTTTGTGAGAGAATGCAAAGTTCCTCAAGGAAATGCAAACGTTTTGCGAATGAACGCAAATTTTCTCAGGGGAACGCAAACATTTTCTAAGAGCACACAACAGTTTTGTGAGAAAATGCAAAGTCCTCAAGGAAGCGTAACGTTTGCAAGAGAAGTTTTGGCGAGAGAACATAAAAGCATTGAAATATAATTTCCATCAGCATGTCCCTACGGCTCCATAACATTCATGTCATTAATAGTGAGTAAGTGATTTCGGACACAGCATATGTATGAATGTTAATAAGAATTGCTAATATGAACTAATCGCTCTCACGCATTTCATGAGTTCAGCACCGTGGCAAGATGTCATGATAACTGTCCTCTTTGCATCATGCTGATGCTTATATCACTACTATTGCAACTGCCTCCTAACTGTGTCCTAAAAATGGGATGTGAAAACCAAATCGGATTTGTGTGCAGTGTGAACAAAGCCTTAGTTTTGGCCTCTGAATGTACTAAAACTGATATACAAACTGGGTTGCAGTAGCTGCAGGTCTTGGAGTGCATAGACTGCTAAGACCTCTTTGCATTGAGCTCTGTTTGAGGCATATATAAACTCACCACTATTCTCAGCTCAGAGTAGATGATGAGCAGAGGAAGAATACTTGTAACAGATGTGAGAATGTGAACGAGTGCAGCAGTGCCATGGAGCAGAATGGATGTACCCTGTTGGTAAAGCGCACTGGTGAGGCATAGTATATGTGTGTTTCATAAACGGGTTTGGGCTTCAGGGATGTAGATCTCTATGCTGTCGGCCCGCTCTGTAGCTGAGCTCTGACGGAAAGAAGCAGCCCGTTTTGCAGCCAGGAGCCTGCGGCGGGCCTCTTGCCTCTGTCGGTCCTGCAGATCCAGGGATCGCTCACGCATGACAGCTCCACGACTTTTAGGAGGCCTCTTTGTAACAGGAGGTGGCCATTTTCTTTCCTGAGATAAAGAAGTAGAGTTCATTATCATTTCCTTGGTTTATTAGAATTTATTAGAATGTGTGTCAATGCAACACATCAATTTAGTGCAAATAATTATTTAAAAAAGAAAAAATGAAGCTGAGAGCTGAATGACTATATTTACTAATTTTATCCCCTGATTAAAACAATGCATTTAACAGAGGCATCAGTATTAGTAATTATATATACATTTTGCTATGTAAATATATATACTACCAGTGTTGGGGAAAGTTATTTTTTAAAGTAATGCATTACCGTATTGAGTTATTTTATAAAAGTTCTATTTTTTGGCAAATGTAGATGCCCTTTCACAACAAAATGAAATGAATAAGCCTCAGGCTGAAGGAAATGTGAAATTCAAAAAGCTCAAACAAATCTTTCAGCTGTGCTGCCATTCTGGATTCCAAATAAAGAATTGGATACAAGAGAAGAAAGATCAACACTTTCTTCTCAATCACAAAAAAATAAAAATAAAAAAAGGTTGAATTAGTATGGTTTAAATGGGTCACTGAGTCAGAACTGGTTAATAAAATGTGATTAAATACATAAAGGATTTTTGTGTTAATGTAATTATTCCAGGTTTCCGTTTGCTTTTCACTGTTTTTATTCATTTTGAGAAATTAATTAATTCATAGCCTATACATTAAACCTTGTAACAGAGATGAGCATATTTTCTGAAACACAATTCACATTTTTTTTATATTCTTATATTCTAAAGCGACTCATATAATGCAATTAACGTCAACAAGCAAAACGTGCTGCACGTGCACACATTTGTATTGGTGCAGAATGGGATGCGAATAGCCTCAGACTACTAGTTTCAGTTTCGATTGAAATAAAGTCCCGCATGCTTGGCATTTAAAATAAATGTTGTTTTGAATGCCCCTATATTTTTTGTTTGTTTATATTTACGATTTAGTTTTAATCCTCCAGGGGAAGTCGTGGCTTAATGGTTAGAGAGTCGGACTCGTAACCCAAAGGTTGCGGGTTCGAGTCTTGTACCGGCAGGGATTGTAGGTGGGGGGAGTGAATGTACAGCGCTCTCTCCCACCTTCAATACCACGACTGAGGTGCCCTTGAGCAAGGCACCGAACCCCCAACTGCTCCCCGGGTGCCGCAGCAAAAAATGGCTGCCCACTGCTCCGGGTGTGTGTTCATTGCTGTGTGTGTGCACTTTGGATGGGATAAATGCAGAGCACTAATTCCGAGTATGGGTCACCATACTTGGCCACATGTCACGTCACATACTTAATCCAAATGATGCGTGTGCTAAGTGAGCAAACCGCAATAAATATCACGCAACTTAAGTATGCATGCTCGCATGCTTTCTCTCTCTCTCTCTCCTTAGTAACTTGTGCATTGTTTTACTTGCTTTTGACATATGCGACCGAACTACAAACATTCCAGTGATGTCTGTGAGAAAGGGCTATTCGCTCGAGGAGCTTGTGCATCCTTGCCAGCACACGCTCACACAGAGTGATTTGCTTATCAAATCGCGCACATAAATGAATTTTTAACATTATGTTAATTACATACATGTACTTCATAGACATCCTTAATCTCTAATAACTTTCGTCAATAACATTCAACTCCGTTGTTCTGTTGTCGGTGATTCTTTATCTGAACATAGCATTGTTCACATGCTGTGTGGTGGTATCGGTGTTTGGTATCGGAGCATTTTTATGAGTACGAGTACAGGAGCGCATCAGGTGCATCCCTAATATATATATATAGTCTGTGATGTTCCATGTACCTTCTTCTCTGGACTCTCCACTATCCTCCACTCATTACTCTTGATTTGCTGCAGCTCATCAAACTTGGCAGTGACATCCTCAATGGAGAGCTGCAGGAGATCCCAGAACCCAGCCAGGTCCTGAGCCGTGGGGCGGGGCATAGCGCTGGGGTCCTGCACAGAACCATTATATGTTACACGCTTCTCAAAGAAGAACAACAGTTATAAGTTACAGCTTTACTCATAAGTTTACAGAATCTCAGGGATCTTTCAAAAAAATATCTATATAATCAATTTAAAAATAAGAGGGATCATAACAATGCATATTGGTTTTTATTTAGTTCTGTGTTAATGAAGCTATTTGACATATATGCATAACTTTGCATACTTCTTAAAGGGGTCATATGATGCAATTTCAATTTTCCCTTTCTCTTTGGAGTGTTACAAGCTCTTGGTGGCAAAAGAGGACATGACTAGAAATCAGTGGTTAAGTAAAACACTGTTCCAGAATAGTACAACCCAAATATTCAGATGTGTGCAGCACATTTTATGGAGGACTGTTTCCTGGGCATTTCATTACACCAAATACACAAAATAATGTTCTTTTTAGCAACATCATATGACCCCTTTAACATCATATGTTGCCTATTGAGTGTAAATGAATGTTTTTAGCCTGTTTAGCCGATAGTTGTGTGTGAGTCTCTAGTTTGTCCTGAGCAGTGAAGCTACCCACTGTTCTTGACAAAAATCCTCAGTAAGTTTTTTTGATTCTCAGCACGCGCTGCACGTTTGAGCTCTTCCCCACTGTGGCGCAGTGATATCGATATCCAGCTTTGCCACTCAGGACAACTGAGGGACTCATACACTATCGATTATCACAAAAGCCAAAGAGCAGGAGGCAATGCAGAGATGTCATTTTTTGAAGAGAATCATTTGTTTACTTTTGTCTTGGGTTATGGAGCTTTTTCTTACAAAATAATAATAATAATAATAATAATAATATAAGATGTATGAGAAAGGAGAATAAACTTATGACCCCTTAAAAAAAATAAGGATCCTGATCACTATTTGTGCCACGAATTAATAAATTATCATGAATAATCACTAGAGGTCACTGTGGTCCAGCTTCACTTTCATCATCTCTTATCCAAACAATGACTATTTGACAATGTCATGTATACTGATCATTAAAATTGCACAATAAAATGTCCTATTTAAAAAAAAAATAAATAATGTGTGATGAGCTATTACCTGACAATGTTCTGTACATACGCATCATAATTGGAGTAAATAGTAAAATAGTTAGTTTTCTGTAAAAATCAATGATTGAATGAACCATTTTTCAGTTACAAACATAATAGTTGTTCTTTATTCTGGCTACATCCTCTCTTCTCTGTTTACAATGCTAAGCTAAACTGTTGTCTCGTGGATGCTCATAGAGTACAAGCTGGTCTCTGCCTGTCCGTGTGAATGTATTACAACATCCATCATTTCACATTCTCCAGAGAGAGAGACAGACAGAAACAATCACTGACCACTAAACAAACCCTTTAAAGTGTCATTCAACCCACAAAGTACCAATTAATGTCAGGATCTTTTACTTTCACACAACCTGAAACCCAGGCTGAAATTATATTTAGTGGAGATAACATTGCAACTAATCAATGTGTAATTCAGTCAACTAAACAGAGTAAACATACTTGTTAAACAATATTGAATATGTTTTATTCAGTAAAACTTACTTGATATGCAAAAATGCACCATATATTTAGATTTATTATAAAATAATATCTTGCTTTAGTACATTTTTAAGGTTTTTAAGCATAATGATTAAATTTAGTACACTTAACTATACAAAAGTATAGTTTAAAAATAACATAAAAATAGCATAAAACTGCCCATGTGAAAAAAAATATATTTTTCATTAAAATAATATCGCTTCTCGAATTTATTGGCTTTTAAGGATTTTTTATTTTTCTATATGAGGTGCTGAAAAGCTAGTATTTAACCTTAAATAATTAGTTTTTCACCTAAAAACAAAAACTTTCAAGAAAATATTGTGTATTTAATAAATGAAAGGTAAACACTCTCACAAATACTTCTTGATGAACTGCCTGTCAAAGAGGCAAACTGAATCATTTATGACAGAACTGGTGCATGGTTGATGTATTTTATGATGCAAAAAGGGCATTACTGTATATCTCATGGGGATCGTAGAAATGCCAAATACCAGATTTTGCTGACACAACCAGTAAAATTGCTGGAATTTCTGGGACATGAGGAGCTGAGCACTGCCTACAGCACTCCGGATCTTCCCAAGAACTGTAAGACATTATTTGATAGAAATATATGCATTATTAAATAGAAATATGTACATATACATAATTTTCCTTGAAATTATATTAAAAAAAAAAATATATATATATATATATATACACACACACACACATATATATATATATAGTATATATATATATAAATGCTGTTAAACCAAAAGTTTCAGTGGTGCTGTTGACATGAAATTTTCATCAGATGTTGGTAACAACCCAAGTAATCCATACATACAAAGAAAACAAAACAAATAAGTTCAGAAATTAGGTTCTGTGTAATAAAGTGGAATGACCCAGGGGGAAAGTATTGAACACGCTTACTGAAATTTATTTAATACTTCGTACAAAAGCCTTTGTTGGTAATGACATCTTCAAGACGCCTCCTGTATGGAGAAACTTGTCACATGCATTGCTCAGGTGTGATTTTGGCCCATTCTTCCACACAAACAGTCTTCAAATCTTGAAGGTTCTGTGGGCCTCTTCTATGAACTCTAATCTTTAGTTCTTTCCATAGATTTTCTATTGGATTCAAGTCAGGTGATTGGCTGGGCCATTCTAGCAGTTTTACTTTCTTTCTCTGAAACCAATTGAGAGTTTCCTTGGCTGTGTTTGGGATCATTGTCTTGATAGAATGTCCACCCTTGTTTCATCTTCATCATCCTGGTAGATGGCAGAAGATTTTTATCAAGAATGTCTTGGTACATTTTTCCATTTATCCTTCCTTCAATTATATGAATTTTGCCAGTGCTACACCATGATGTTTTGGGGTGATGTGCAGTGCCATTTGACCTCCAAACATGGTGTGTATTATGGCAAAACTGACAAGGGGCAGGATTGCGTTCTAATTATTGATTTCAGCTGGTGTCTTGGCTTTCCATGCCTTTTTGCATGTTTTCAATACTGTGTCATTCTACTTTATTACACATTACTTCATTTCTGAACTTATTTGTTTTGCTTTCTTTGTATGTATGGATTACTTGGATTGTTACCGACATCTGGTGAAAATGTCATGTCAACAGCACCTTTAGAAATATATTTACTGAGAAAAATGGTGATGTGTTAAATATATATATATATATATATACACACACACATTTTATATAATTTATATATTTTTATACATTTTTAATTATTAAATACAGAATTTAGTAAGAACTAATTAGACCAGCCCAATGTCACGTGAACACATAACTAATGTTACAAGGTGGCAATTTTGTATGAATTTGCCCAATGTGAATCATATGAATATTAGATTGTATGAATTCATATGAATAAGTCACCAATTTGCCAAAACGTAAAATTGTTACAAACTGAGAATGTGTTGGTTTTAGACTCATTATCTGTTTCTTTGATGTCCTGCACACTCACTCTCCTCTGACAGGTCGTGCTCCTCCGCCTCACGTTCCATGTCTTTGCACCATCCCTCCATCCTTTTGGTCTCGCTGTGCAGAAGCTGCATGAACCAGCTGCCGTCGCGGCGGAGTGGTGACACACGGCCGGACTCGGCTGCTTCATGAGCGGGCTCCACCAGCCAGGGCTCGGGCTGCGGACTGGATGGCCCGCTGGAGGGTCGGTAATCCTCACGGTAGCTAAAAAGGCCCTGTGTTCGTACAGTCCGAACCACGCTGTACTGTGTGGGCGTACTGGGTTCAGAATGTCGCTGAAATCCTCCAAACTGCAGACTCTTGTCTTCGGTCGAAGGAAACCCCTCCAGCTCCAAATCGGCCTGAACTGCCGTCGTCACACTGTTGGACCGTTTAAAGCGGCCAAGTCTGAAACTAAACATAAGAGTGACAATATTAAAGGCAGGGTATGTGATTTTTCAAAAACACTTTAGAAAACTGATCCGGGCCGAATAGCAAAACAAACTTGTAGCCAATCAGCAATAAGGGGCGTGTCTACTCGTGATGTGGAGGAGAGAGCTTTCAGTGCATGGGACGGACATTAGCCGAGCCGAGCGACAGAAAGATAGAGATGGCGGATAAAAAAACAAAAGAGGAAAACGTCTGCGGAACGACAAGGCAAGAAGTAGGACCCGTGTAAATATCGGATCAGCTTTCCAGAGCTGGAGAGAACTCAAGGAGCGGAGGCCTGCGATCGGACGCCGAGGTTGCTTTGTTTCTTCTCAATAGGTGAGTAACACAGTGTCTACAACAGCTAAAGTCTGCCTACACCGGACGCGATCAAACGACCGTTGAAAACCATTTGAAATGTATGTCAGCACGTCATAAATAGAACCCGGCAGCAGTTTTCTGTCGGGGATTTGTTGCGCCGCGCCGCTCACGTCAGTAGACACGGTGTAACATTGGTTTTGCTTTGTTTCACAGAACTAATCGTTGCCTGGGTTGCGTACGTATATGTGGGGCGGAGCTATCAAAATAGGGGCAAGACCCTTTTGGGGTAGGGCCGTGTTTGTTTTGGTGATTTCAAATATCAACATTGGCTACCAGAAATCGCTTACTCTGCCTTTAAAGAGAGCAGTTTATGTGCTTACACACAGAAAATATATAAATATATGTATTTATCTATACACTGTTTCAATTTGCTTATTTTCCTGAGCTACTGGACTTAAAAGTATTATTAATTCATGATAACCTTAGTTCTACGGACCAAATGTCCTGTAAACTTACCTCTTCTCGTCCTCCACCTGGATACCCACGGACTGATACTGTGGGAGACCTTTACTATCTGTCTCAGAATCTGTGGCCGCTTCCACCTGAAGAATAAGAAGATGAAGAGATACAATTTGCACATAATGAATGAGAACACACACACACACACACACACACACACACACACACGAGTATCTGAGGAGAAGTAAGAAGTAAGAAAATATTGCTGCAAGCTGCAATTATGGGTCCAAGGACATTGCTAAGATTATGTACACTGCATTAAGCATGATCCAAAGAAATAAAGCACTAGACTTTTGTCAATTATTGCAAAGTTGCAGTTTAACCATTACAAGTTTTGACAAGTAATTATGCACCCAAACTCTTATGGTATCTCAAAGGGTCTGTTTCCATGTTAAAGGTATAGTTCACCCAAGAACACACACACACACACACACACACACACAGAGTAATGAGTATCTGAGGAGAAGTAAGAAGTAAGAAAATATTGCTGCAAGCTGCAATTATGGGTCCAAGGACATTGCTAAGATTATGTACACTGCATTAAGCATGATCCAAAGAAATAAAGCACTAGACTTTTGTCAATTATTGCAAAGTTGCAGTTTAACCATTACAAGTTTTGACAAGTAATTATGCACCCAAACTCTTATGGTATCTCAAAGGGTCTGTTTCCATGTTAAAGGTATAGTTCACCCAAAAATGAAAGTTCTGTCATTAATTACTCACGCTAATGTCATTCCAAACCCATCAGACCTTAGTTCATCTTCGGAACACAAATTAAGATATTTTTGATGAAATCCGAGAGCTTTCTGACTCTGCATAGACAGCAACGCAACTGAAATGTTCCCAGACCCAGAAACGTCTGTAAAATAGTCCATGTGACATCAGTGGTTCAAGCGTAATTTTCTGAAGCTGAGATAATACTTTTTGTGCGCAATGAAAAAAAAAGAAGACTTCTTCTCTTCCAAATCACGTATTCCGCCATTATGGAGAGTTCCATGACGCAGCACCACATGCATGCATTATTTACATGCAGAGGTACTCTCGATAATGGTGGAAGACGTGATCGGGAAGAGAAGAATTGTTGAATAAAGTCGTTATTTTCTTTTCTTTGTGCACAAAAAAGTATTCTTGTAGCTTCGTAAAATTACGGTTTAACCACTGATGTCACATGGGCTATTTTAATGATGTCCTTGCTACGTTTCTGGGTCTGGGAACATTTCAGTTGCGTTACTGTCTATGGAGGGTCAGAGAGCTCTCAGATTTTATCAAAAATATTTTAGTTTGTGTTCCTAAGTTGAACGAAGGTCTTATAGGTTTGGAACAACATTAGGGTGAGTAATTAATGACAGAACTTGGTGATCTATCCCTTTAAGTTTCAATTTCAATTGAGATCAATATGGTTTTAAGATTATTTGAGGTAAAATTGGAAAAGATCAAATAAATGCTGTAGGAAAAGTTTCAAAATTATAAAAAGTGGAAAATCTAGTCGGGTGGAAATTGAAACCACCCATATGATTGATGGCATGAACCAAGGAATCACAGAAAAATAACTGATTCTTGGCCTAATGGTTTTAAGAAGATCCATTGTTGCTGTTAGAGTGTCTGAGACTCCAAATTTGCCATGATATAAGTTGAGATGTTACTCTATAAGTGTGGTACAGTATGGTTCTAGGGATTGCCATAGACTCCCAGCCAGTCAAAACAATAATTGCAAAACTAACAGATACAAAATGTGTTTCGCACATTCGTTGAGTAATAATGTAAGTGTCAAGGCAATACTTACAACATAATATAATATTGCTACAGTAATACAATATAACATATAACCATACAGTAATTTTCTCACACAGAACAACCTCTTGGACAGCGACCAATCTGGCTTCAGAAGTGGACATTCGACCGAGACTGCCTTGCTCTCAGTTGTTGAAGCCCTAAGACTGGCAAGAGCGGCTTCCAGATCTTCTATACTTATCTTGCTGGATCTGTCCGCTGCTTTTGATATGGTGAACCACCAGATCCTCCTGTCAACCCTATTGGAAAATGGCATCTCAGGAACCACACTCAGTGGTTTGAGTCTTACCTCTCAGATATCTTGGAGAGGTGAGGTGTCCAAGTCGCAACATCTAGCTACTGGGGTGCCTCAGGGCTCAGTTCTTGGACCACTTCTCTTCTCTGTCTACATGGCATCACTAGGTTTTGTCATTCAGAAACATGGCTTTTCTTATCACTGCTATGCTGATGACACGCAACTCTACCTCTCATTCCATCCTGATGATCTGACGATAGCTGCTCGCATCTCAGCATGTCTAACAGACATTTCTTGTTGGATGACGGACCATCACCTTCAACTCAACCTGGCTAAAACAGAACTGCTTTTGGTTTCAACAAACCCATCACTTCATAACAATTTCACCATCCAATTAGGTTCATCAACCATAACTCCTTCAAAAACAGCTAGAAACCTTGGAGTTGTGATTGATGATAAGCTGAATTTCTCAGACCACATTGCAAAAACTGCCAGGTCCTGCAGATTTGCTTTATAGAACATTATGAAGATCAGGCCCTTTCTTTCACAACACGCAACACAACTCCTTGTTCAAGCTCATGTTTTATCCAGGCTGGACTATTGCAATGCTCTCTTGGCAGGTCTTCCAGCCATTTCTATCAAACCTCTACAATTAATCCAAAATGCAGCTGCAAGATTAATCTTTAATGAGCCAAAAAGAACGCACGTCACACCTCTGTTCATAAATTTGCATCGGCTACCAATAGCTGCTCGCATAAAACATTATTAATGTTTGCCTACAAAACCACCACTGGCTCTGCACCCCTTTACCTAAATGCACTACTTCAGAGTTATGTGCCCTCTAGAAGCTTGCATTCTGCAAGTGAACAACGCATTATTGTGCTATCCCAAAGAGGCACAAAATCACTTTCACTGACTTTTTCATTTACTGTTCCCTCCTGGTGGAATGACCTGCCCAACTCAATCTGAGCAGCTGAGTCCTTAATCATCTTCAACAAATGACTAAAAACACACCTGTTCCATCTTTATTTGACCCTCTAACTCAATCACTTTCTTTTCTATTTTAATTCTACTTCATCTATTTGTCTTCTTTTTTATAAAAAAAAAAAAAACTGACTCCCCTTAAAGAGCTGTCATTTCACAGACACTTTGTTATCTGAGGCAATTTATAGCACACTTGCTATAAGGACAGCCCCCTAAAGCAGCCTGCTCAAGAGCCCAGTGGAGACACAGGATCCTGGTAACCAGTGTTGGGGGTAACGGATTACAAGTACCGCAAGTTATGCAATCAGATTACTTTTTCAAGTAACTAGTATTAGTTACTTGAAAAGTAACATATTCCTTTTTAATTTGCAAGAAAATATCTGAGTTAATTTTTCAATAAAGTAACACCAGTTACTTTGTTTTCCCAACTCAAGACTGCAATAATAAAATATGTTAAATAACACAAATATCCTTTATGTATTTAATCCCATTTTATTAACCAGTGTCTATAGTTACTTTTTTAGAGAGAAGCGCAATATTGTAATGCATTTAGGGTTGGGCGATGTCTACAAAATTGGCATCGGACGATGTATACAGTAAAACATCGCGATGGACGATGACATCGGGGGGGTGGGTGTGCCCGAAGCGTGAATTCGTATTCAGAAAACAATTGCTAACAGTTGCCTGTTACATTACAGTAGCCTACATAAAATTTCACTTACCGCATAAACAGAGTAAGGAGAGATGACTGATAGGACGATGACGAATGATTTGTAGATCCTCAGCACCACTGACAAACATCTAATCTTGTAAAATGTGTGGCAAGTACTGCCGCTCCATAGTATAAATACAGTGCATGCGATCGCGAATCTTGAAAGTGAAAGTGAAACTAAAAAGCGATCGTGCATTCAAAAGCAGTTTCAATGAAAGTAACTTTCTCCAACGCTGCTAGTAACCAGTTATTAATGTTCACAATACTAACCTACTGTAAACTGTAACCAAACATTGGGGACATGGCTTATTGCTTAGTATAAGCCTTTCATACAGTAAATTGACCTTCCTCTGATTCCTGATTTCCTTGTTTCATATTATTAGTTCTGGTGGCGACAGCTAGTTTCTTCAGCATCCAGAGTAATGAATCCCTGTAAATTGCATCATGAATATACAGTAATGCATTTTTAACAAGTTCAAAGTCTTCTGGAAGTTTATGACTTATTGATGTATTTTCCATATTCCACATCTCTCTCAGCTAGTGCTGTAAACATGTCTTTAGTATCGTGGCTAAAATCATCTAAACTCACTAAAATGCATCTATAATTTTTTCAACGAATTTCTCACTCCCATGGGGCCCAATACTGATTTAGGTTTAGTGGTAGGGGGTTGTGTTAGATGCTCTAAAATATTAAAATATAAAGGAGAGTCTTCCCAAAATTGAAAATGTACCCTGATGTCATTCTAAACAAATACAAACAAGCCTTACTGGTTCTTGCATCTTTGAGCTTCTACACTAGTCAACATTTGAAGTGGATCAAAACCATTCATCAAAGTTGTCCTAAAACCTAAAACCAAAATGTGCTCTTGTCTTAGGACAACTTTGATGAACTTTTTTGATCCACTTCAAATGTTGACTACTATAGTTTGATGTTCTCTATACATGTGTGTTAATTTTTTTTTTTTTTTATGTGAATAAAAGGCTAAATGTTTTTCATCTAAAGCGATTTTTAGAGGTCTTGAATTAAACTGCTCGATTTTTACTTTTACAATCTTTTCAGTTGTCAAAGTTTTGGTGGAATGCATGAATGGACCAATGGATGGTCAGAAATCTCTCAGGAAAATATCTTCATTTGTGTTTTTGAAGATGAATGGAAGTCGTATATGTTTGGAACGACATGAGGGTGAGTAAATGATGACAGAATTTACATCTTTGAGTGAACTATCCCTTTTAGGTCTATATAAAGTGATTACTCTAGCTGTTCAAATTAATAACCCAACATATCATGATGACCAACGTATTCCCAACGTATTCCCAACCATTAATAGATTTGTGATGATAAAATTCCTAGAAACTTTGTATCAGGTTATTGACACCAAATGTTTCTCACTGAAAGCAATACTGTACCCTTACGAGCCACGTTGCAATAAAGTGTTGCTCAAACAGTAGAACATGACGCTGGCAACATCAAGGTCTTGGATTTGATTACCAGGGAATGTAAGAACTGATAGAAATATATGTAAAATTCGATTGTAATGCAAGTTGCTTTGGATAAAAGTGTCTAAATGTGTAGGGTGCTTTTGAACAGTATTGTTTGCCTTAGGAGTGAAAACAGGCTGAAATTTCTAGTGGTTAATCAGAACAAGAATCAAATTTAGAGCCTTGTTTGTATTTGTTAGGTGCCGCAGTGGCAGGTTTAATGGTCGGGTGGTTTGAGTTCCGGATTTAGCTAAATAATTCATTCCAGCCTTTGTGGATTTGGTTGTTAATGATCCATAGCTTCATAGGTGTAATATTTTCTTCATCTCAACAGCTGCGTGCTGCGGTTGACTGTTGGTCCTGTGTAGGAACAAGCCCACAGAGAGAAGCAGCATCATTAATCTTTGTTGTTCAGAGTCAATCTGCAATCTCATCTTCTCCGCCACAGAATCTGGCTGTATGAGGAGTCTTTTATGTGCACTTTCTGGGTGGGTGAGTCACTGTCTGAATACTGCCAGCTATTTTTGGATTTGAGGCGAGACACAAAGCCATTGGGTTTACAAAGAGGTAATGACCAACTGAGACACAAACCTAAAACCTTGAGGGAGGTTTACCTGTATCCCGATGGAAGAGCGTGGAGTCTTGAGGTATTCCTCTGCTTTGGACACCAGGATGGCCTTATCGCAAGTCTGAACGGAGCTGTAGCTCCCCACAGAAGTGAGGCGCTTGGATGCGGTTTCCATTGCTAGGGTCACCGCCTTTGCGCTATCCAGGCTGTCGGTGGAGTTGTAGATAACCCGGCTGAGGCTATCTGGTGCCCAAAGCCCTCCCCGTGACGGCCGACCCTCGTGGTACGCATCCTGCGTCGACTCTGTGCTGCTCTGGGCTGTTACAGAAATCAGCGGCTTAGTGGTGGAACGAGGGGGAACAGGTGGAGGAATCTTCTTGTAGTCAGGTGTATATGTCACTACCGCTATAACGAAACAGATGAACGATATGTTAGATTAAAGAGGGGAAAAAAAGCATTTTCAGGAGTCGTTGTGCTAGATGTTTATTTGTAAGCTTCAAAACAATGGATGTAGATGGTTTGATCACAACAGAGCAATGGATCCGAGAGAAACTCAACCTTTATCACAGTTGTTTAGCAGATGTCTGATCATTGACTCTTCTAGGAACCATTTTATAGCTACACTATGCAACCTTTGGCCCTCTATCGGTTGAAGCATAAAACTGTAAGTTATTCACGGAGGGACATTGTTTTGGTCATTACTGTACTGAGTTGTGCATTAGCTTCCAGAGGAGCACCGCTTTGCTCATGGTTACATAAAATGGGAATCTCACTAACAACATCAGAACTCTCCCAACATCAAAAGGCGGATATCTGAGAAAAAAAAAAAAAAAAACTTTCTCATGAGTAGGTGAGTAGCTTATATGGTGCTGTTGTTTTGATCGATTACCTTTACAAAAGTTTGTCAGTCCTGACATTAAACATAACAATGGTTATTCACATCAGATAATGGCAGAAACATTTACTTGGGAAGGCTATTTATAGACAAACAACGTAGTAACTGTTCTGGCATTGTCACCAACATAAAGATTGTTTTGTGAACCTAGTCAGTGCACAGCAAATGCTATGCAAACTATGTTGATCCGTGTTTAACTCTGTCACTTTTCCTTTTTGCTTGCAAATGCTTTTCGGTTTAGAGGTTCAATTTTTGTGGCTTCAAGCTACTTCCACTTTATATATAGTAGTAGCCTGACCTTCTTTTCTTTATTTATGGATATAATGTAAACATAAATCAGAAAAGTGTGCAGTTTCCCATTAAATCTATCTTGACAACTCTAAAATATTCTATAGGCTTACCTTAACTTATTATTTCAATTTTGTTAATTTCCAACAAAAAAGTTAGTGTACACAGTGTATCTTTAATAACAAGAGAACACCATAACCTACAAGAATACATCTTTTGAAAATGGAATAATGTGTATAGTGAGCAAATTGGACACTCCAGTGCTTGAAGTGAGCTGGTACTCTGCAATTCTGTGCTCTTTTGTTCACAGTATCTGTATTATTCGTGTGTCCCAGCAGCTCTTATAAACTGCAGATATTCTCTTTTGTTCCTGCTTGACAATGCAGTCTCACTAGTGTAGCGTCTGGACCAATCAGACACACCATTTGTCATTTGATTTAACAAATCAATTATTCATTAGATTAACAGATTCTGTGACTCAAACTGGTTCTTTTTCACCAACCAATTTCAGCAGAGATCAACTGGAACCTTCAGATTACATCAAACCTCTCTTTCAGACAGATGAGACGTGCAAGTATTCAAACTTAGTCTTATTAATGATACATTAGGTATCATTTGCACCTTTTTACAAAGGTGTGTTTGAACTAAGAATCTGA